TCTGAACCCAGACGGGGCCCTTTTGTTTTGTTCTGCACGTTCCCCCTGTGCTTGATTTGTTTCCTCCAGGAACTCCTGTTTGTTCTGTTACCAGAGAACCTGCTGGGTTAGCACTGCCCATCTTGACCGAGTTCACAGAAGAATTTAACTTCCTTCTCCTAAGGCTACATACCATGTTTCTATTGGCTCTCTGACAGCCTCAAATGTTTTACCATTCCTGGGTAATTCTTTGGTTTTTCCTGTGAGAGCGTTCACATGCGTATTCTGTGTCACTCATCAGGTTGGTTTCAATCCTTTTAAGAGATATAAAAGCTTAAAAGAAGAAACTCACCATTTTCTGGGCTATCCGACTCTATATTTGGAGGACTTAATTGGATTTCATCAACAAGCTCCATCAGTCTGCTTGCTATCTCACTCGCCTTCTCGTCCTTCTTTTCAGGCTCATCTGGAAAAATGGAACAAACATATCAAATCAGACCCTAAAAGGATGGCATCACAGCAGGCGGTGGCTGATCGGCCGGGTAAAATATACGCCTGTATACGCTTGTGAAACAGGAAAAACGCAAGAAACCAATACATCTTATGGTTAAGTGAGTGATTCAGCCCAGTGCTCCTCAAAAGTTTCCTGGAATATCCCGGTGACTTTACAAAGAGGCTCAAAACCTTTTAGGGAACTGCAATGACTCAAATAGTTGACTGACCTTATTTAACTGGGTGGAATATACAAGCACATTTACTGGGGTTAAAATGTCCAATTCATAAACTGATTTTGTTCATTGCTTTGCCACAAGAAAACCTGACTAACAAAAACAGGTTAAAATTATTTCATAAGTTTTGTCTAACTTTTTGGCTCCGGCAGAAAAATGTGTCTATCAAAAACAAAAAAGCAAGTTGAATTGAAATAAAGGAGAGCATTAAAGTATCAGGCAGCACTTTTGTTACAACATAGTTTCACTTTCTGGTCGTCCATGCTTTTACATTTTGAGAACCTCGAGTTGGTCTTATCTGTAATTATGAGCGTTTATGAGAAACTAAAACCGGTCTTCAGGTCAGCTGACTTTGCAGAATTCAAACTGGACTCAAACCAGTTTAAGTGTGAAACCAGCAGGATGTTCACCCGTTGCACTAAAAAGAAATAAAAAGGGCTGAGGTCCACAAAATTACCTTTGTAATATTTTTATGGCATGCTGTTGACAGTCGACTCAGAGACATTTTTTAAGACAAAAAGTTCTGCAACAAGTACATATTTGCTGGTGTTTTTGTCCTCTCGTATTTATAAAAGAACACTTTTTGAGAGTTTAGGACTCTTAGTGTGACGTCTTTGACCTGGTATTGACTTTCACCTATTTCTAAACAAAACAAGAGGATCTTCTTCATTTTACCCGCCTCTACAGCGCTCCTGCAGCACAAAAACTTTCTTCCAGTTTCCATAAAAATTTAGAACGTTGTCAGATTTTTCCTGTGAACCTTACACCAATGTCAATGCCCCTCCCTATAATAAAAATCATGACAGTGTTGATAAAGTTGTCAATGATTAAGTTCCAGTCGGAGCTGGTACTTTTCCTGCCTTACTGTTTCAATAAAAATCCAACATGTTTAAGATTACCTCAGGTTTTTCCCTCTCTGCTGATTTAAGACTAAAACATGTAACCTGGAGTCTTTATCTGTGAGACTGTGCCAGATGTCAGTCTTCTAGTGTATTTCAGGCATCAGTTTCACCGTGAATGATTTTATGATAGTGAACTAACATTTTATAAACACGAACTA